AACACTCTCTCCACATCTTCGAGTAATAACAGCTGATTGGTGCCGCACAGAACAACAGCTGACTGTGGTTGGCAGCAGCAAGCAGCACCTTTTGCAAGAACAGCTTCCTTGATTGCCGTGTTCTTACCCACAATAGTAGCGAACGGTTGATTGGGGTTTATATACAACCTTACCACTCAGGACAACGCACTCCACTTCATACTCAGCAATGATCCTCTTTTCTTCATCTCCAATAGTAATTCTCACCCTTTTTTAGCTGAGGGTGGCACTTAGAAAGCTTTCTTGGGGCCCATGGTGACTTATTTTGCAGGTGCAATCCACTACTAAGGCTGTGATAAAATGAAATTTCCAGTTGTTGTATGTTTGGCGAAGCGACCGCGGTGGCTGCTGGTTTGTAAACACTGACACCCATAATGGGACAAGTGAGCGCCCTGGCAATCAGAACAGCTTGCTTGAACAATAAAACGACTGTAAGCCGAACACTCAATATAACAAGCAACGCGACACAGAATCAGGAACATGGAGATAATATAAGCAACACTAATTAGGACTATCTGATATCTCCACAAAAGTCACAAAACTACCCATACTACTGAATCTAAGTTCAGCATTAGAAAATCCCACGACTGTGACAGTACAAGCACAGGATACCAGTACAAATTAGGTCAGAAATCTACAATGCAGGACCTGAGTTTCTCAAGTGTCTAAGAGAGAGACAACCTCATATAAAAGTTGAAAATCACCAAGATCTAACTACGCTCTGTGAACAGAGTTACACAGAACCAACAACAAGTAAGCGAACAGACATCGACGATCTTCCAACAAGGGCCACACGAGAGAGAGGAGTAGAGGGCTCTTGCTAGAAGCATCGTATTGTGACCCCTATTGGGTCACAAAGATATAATGAATATTACCTGTTTTTTATAATTTTATATTGCTTAAACAGTGGTCCCCCGTTCGCGAATCATCGAGGTAACCGCTAACTTCCGGTATCCGAAGCGTTATATCCGCTAAAAATTTGCTCTTACGGTTCTTTTCCCGTTACAAACCCATTACTCGATACGATTTCGTACCGACGTGTCCACAATGAGCCTGAACTGCCCAGTGTTTACCAGTGTTTACAAGCCAGCCAGTGTGTGCGCATCTAAGGATACATTCGAGCATTCCATATTATCCATATTATCACTGTTTCTGGTGCTTGTTTCTGAAAATAAGTCCCATGGGCTCCAAGAAAGCTTTCTAGTGCAACCCTTTGAACCAAGGGTGGCTAATGACATTGAGAATGAAGAAAGAGATAATTCGCAAAGTATGAAAGTGGAATGCGTGTGACGACCTGGCCTGTTGATAGTAAATTCCAATCAACCACCTCTACTATAGTGAGCAGGAAAAATGGGCAAACAAGGAAGCTTTCTTGCAAAAAGTGCAACTGTGATTACAAACAGCGATCGCCAGAATGTTTGAAAAGTGTGGAGGGGAGAGGAAGTGCGTTACTGGGTGTGTGTGGGGGAGACTAATGAAAAACAGATTAGCTGTAGATAGCAATCATCTCAAGCGATCATATTGTGAAAACGCTAGAGCAGTTCGCATGAGGATTTAATTAGAAGAAATGCCCTGCAACTAGTGGTGATGAGTCAGTGAATTTAGGCAGCAAAGGTTGGTTTGAAAGATTTAAGAATCGTAGTGCAACCAAAGAGAGTGATTAGGCATGGTGAGAGCTGCCAGCTTTAGACCACAAAGCAGCTGAAGAAAATATGTTGCATGAATTACAGTAGTACATAGAGGCTGAAGGATTGAAACCTGAACCAAGGTGTTAAATTGTACACAGCAGGCCTGTTTTGGAAGAAATTGCCAAGCAGGACTTCTACATTACCCAGGAGGAAAAGCACTCCCAGGATATAAGGCTATGAAAGACAGGCTTACTTACTGTTGAAGTGTGCCAATGCTAGTGGTGATTGCAAAGTGAAGCCTTTATTGGTGTATCATCAGAAACACCCAGAGTGTTCAGGCAAAAGAATCTCTCTCTCAAAGGCTAATTTGGTGTGTGCTGTGGGAGTGGCAAATACTAAGGCTTGGATCACTAGGGACTTTTTCTATGACTGGTTACACACCATGCATTTTACCCCCAACTGTGAAAAATTAGCTAATTGAAAAGAAATTAGACCTAAGTGCGCACTGGTGTTAGACAATGCCCCTGAGTCATCCTAACAGACTGGGCAAAGCAAACTTTGTGGGGAACATGACTTCCATAAGGTCAAGTTTTTCCTCCTAATACCACTCCTCTCCTGCAGGCCAATGGTACCAGCAGTTACTTTGCAAATTTCAAAAAGCTCTACACCAAAAAGCTATGTTGAAAAGTGCGTTTGAAGCTGACCATCAAGATTCCCTCTATACGACACTCTAAAGCGAGTTTTGGAGAAGTCTCACATTTATTATTCCTCAATTGTGTAAACCTTATAGGTAAGGCTAGGGAGTGAGTGACTAAGAGACCTTGAACTCTGCTTGGAAAGAAACTTGAGGCCAGAATGTGTAGACAAAGAGGGATTTTGAAGGTTTGAGGCTAACCTGAATCCCTATGCCAGTTGAGATCCATTGTGGCAATTGGAAAGTCCCTTGGGTTGGAAGGTTAGTGGGAAGGATCTGAAGAGTTGGTGAGGAGGACAATGAAGAAACAAACCACTGATGAGCTGCTGATCATCTCAATAGCAAGAGGCCAGACCTGAAGAAACTGCTTCGGAGGAGGGGAATAGAGAAATTGATGAAGTTGCCTACTTCAAAGATTAAGAAATGTGTGCAAAGTGGCTGAAGTGCAAGCCTTTTGGAGAAAATCACCCTGACACAGCTACTGCAAGCCATGTTGGCAATCTGAACACTGACAATGTTGTCAACCACTTTGGGAAGTCATAAAGGAACGAGAGGTTACAGGTCCTCTATGACAGATATGTTTGCGACAGAAGTCCAGTGACTCTGAAGCCTGTTCCTAAGTGGCATTAAAAGAAGAAGGGAGAGTAAACCCCAGAAAAGGACTTGCTACCATCTATTCTAAAGTGGAGGGGATTCCCTTTCTAGAACATAAAAACTCGACACTCTCTCCTCCTCCCATCCCATCAATCATCACCAGATCTTCATTAAAGGTAAGTGGTCAATTATTCTATTGCATTTATTCTATTGCATTAAAACTTAATAGTCTCCATGTGTAAAAGTTTTTTTTTTTTTCATACTTTTGGGTGTCTGCACAATTTATTTGATTTCCCATTATTTCTATGGGGAAAAGTTGATTTGCTGTCCCGATATTTGCTTTAAGCGATGATCTCTCAGGAACGGATTAAAAAACATGAACCGGGTTCCACTGTTTTTTGCGATAAACTAAATGATAAATATATTGCTTATATTATTATTTGAACTTAGTTGTTTTATTAGGTTAGGAATGTAACTATATATATTATTCAGTGCTCATAGTTTCAACAAGTCTTGATTGTCTAACTACTGTAATTATCGATCGTTGCTCGTTTCCCAGCCGGCTACTCAGTGTGCTGGGCAGATAAGCACACTGAGTCAGTGACAAAAGGGGGGTGTTCACACCTCCCTGGAGGTAATCTGCCTGACATGCGCGCTGTCTCTGGTCTGTTGACTTCTCTAAACCAGACGGGCCAAGCTCTCCCTTGGCTGGCTGTTGTATTGAAAGACATCGTCTCTGTCGCTTTCCTGTTGTTGGTTCTGTGGACTCAGTTCACAGAACACAGCCTAGACTTAGTGACTTTCGACGTTGTACTGATGTGGGGTTTTGTGTCGCCTAGACACTGAGAAACACAGGTCCCTGAGCTGTAGCTTCTGACTCTAATTTGTACCTGCGGTATCTGAGTACTGTCACAGTTGGGGATTTTCTTATGCTGAACTTAGATTCACGTAGTAAATGGGGAGTTTTGGACTTTTGCGTGGAGGATCTGCAGATGGTCCCCTACTTTAGTGATTGTTATATTATCTCCTTGTTTCTGATTGTATTGCTATAGCTTGCTAAATTGTTGTTCGGGCTTAGTCAGTCGAGTATTTATTGTTCAAGCAAGTGTTCTGATTGCCAGGTTATGGTCAAAAGTTTAGTTGAAGCAATTAGTTCAAGCAAGCACATACTACTGTACACGAAGGAAGTGATTATTTTGATTATGTACAGACATTAATTTAATTTGATTATATCCGCCTAACAATTTTATTAAATTTAATTTCTTTAGTTAGTAAACCTACCAGTTGCAAATCCTGAAGCGCACTAATAACATTTGAATCTTACTGAATTCAAATGGCTAATTGAACCAGATACTGACTACTTGTTGGCAAAAACCCATAATAGCTGGATGCTAGAAGCGCAGTCCTTTCAGTATTTCACGTGAGATCTCTAACTTATTAGAAATCGGGGCGTTTTTTGTAACACAGACGTCCAACTGACAAGAGTGAGCAGACCAGACCGACTACTCCAGATGAGGTGGGAATGCAACCCTACCTGATCACGTGACTCCGTGGGAACTGCTGCTGCCCAGCAAACACAGAGAAGCCAGCAGCCAAATGATCGGAGAGAAAACACAGTAGTTTAGACAATTTTGTCCCAGCTACTATCTCTCGAACTAATGAGCACTGAATGATATATAAATGTTACATCCTACCTAATAACATAACTAAGTCAAAAAAAATGTAAAGCAATATATTTACGCATGTAGCTATTTTATCGCAAATATAAGCAATATAAAATTATACATGAAACAGGTAATATAACATTATATACATTGAGGAACCCATTCAGGCGGTTAGCAATACCCCCCAGCACGACAAACTGTCGCTACTAGGAGTTGCGTCAATGACTTCCACATTATTACTTCTTATAACTCATGTACACTTTAATAATACATTTAATAACAACTAAGAGTCACTCTTAAGAGTCACGCACGTCACACTTTCTTATTTATTTACTGTCTCTTATGCATTTTCAATAGTAAATTTTCACCCTTTTACCACAGGGTGGCACTCAGAAGCTGCCCATGCCTGGCTGGCTGGCTGCTGCCGGCCGGCCGTGCTGATGCATACATTGTGTAAATTACCTAGGAATAACCCAAAAAATCCAGACTGGCCAATAATAATAATCAGACTCAGATGTGACTGCTGCACTGGAGTTGTAAAACGGTTGGTTCACATAGTGGCTCACATCTGAACAGAGAACAGAAGCAGGCAAGACAGATAGACAGAGAAATGAGAGAAGCAGACAGATAGACAGACATGTTTAGGGACTTTTGACTGTTTTGGTCGTATATATACGTCTTACGAGCCAGTGTTTCTGACGTATATATACTCAATAATTCTAGCGGACGAAATTTTTCTATTATTATTCTTTTTAGTAATCTTTCAGGAAAAGGGTACTACCCCCATTGTTCCCGCATTTTATAGTTGACTTTTTACACACTCATTCTTACTGAGGAAAGAAATCTTATTCCACTCTCTCCATGGATATAAAAGTAAAAGTAATAAGACCAAGAACTATAAGATAAATCAAAGAAAACTCAGATAGTGTGTATAAATAAACGTGTACATGTATGTGTAGTGTGACCTAAGTGTAAGTAGAAGTAGCAAGACATGCCTGTAATCTTGCATATTTATGAAACAGACCAAAAGACACCACATCCTCACCATCATGTAAAAACAATTACGAGCTTTCGATTAACACTCTCTTGGCAGGACGTAAGTACATTCCCATGGTGGTTAGCTGTCTACAACTACTACCTACTTCCAGCAGCGTGGCATGAGCGTGTAAGATAGGATGAATGAGCGAATGATACTTGGTACCTGACATCTGTTGGAGTGTAGTGCAGGGTAATATTAGTGAAGGGATTCAGGGAAACCGAGGTTAGTTCATATAGTCGGACTTGAGTCTGGAAAGGGAAGTACAAATGCCTGCACTTTAAGGAGGGGTTTGGGATATTTGCAGTTTTGGAGGGATATGTTGTGTATCTTTATACGTATATGCTCTAAGCTGTTTGTATTAGATCACCTCTGCAAAAGCAGTGAAAATGTGTGAGTGTGGTGATAGTTGTTGAATGATGATGAAATTATTATTCTTTTTAGGGGATTTTTCCTTTCTTTTTTGGTCACCCGCCTCGTAGGGAGAACGGGACCGACTTGTTGAAAAAAAAACTCTAAGGCTTCAAATCAAGCAGAAGAAAGCTGGTAGGCCTACATGTGAAGAGAATGGGGTCTGTGTGGTCATGTGCACCACATAAAAAAAAATCCTGCCAGCTAACAGTGCGTTAACGAGAAAAACAAAAACTCTGATCTTTTTTATGGATTTAAACGCCAACTTTGAGGTGTATTATCGTATAGTATTTATCGATGTATTGGCGTTTTCCATGGTCTCTAGGTTGATAAAATTGAAAACATATTTTAGAAATAGCGATGATTCTTTCATTAACTTGGACGATGAAAATGACCATGAAAACTGAGCTCAAGTAGCAGAAAATGTCTTCAGAATTTTTAACCAATGTTCATGAAGTAAACAAAACTCAACACAACACGTCCAATACACGTCAACTGGGGAGTCTAATATTCTTTCACTAGTGCACTGATATTATTTATATACACATTTTTACAATAATGCAGTAAGTTCTGCAATAACATAAATTTTGTATTTTTTTGTAAATAAAAAATCACAAATAGAAAGCAATAATAATATAAGAGGGCCTAGAGATTGACAAATGAACAAGTATATGATATTTTAGTGCCAAATGTCTACCTGTTTATTCTTGACCCTATTTGAAAATGCATCTTTTTTAAATTTGCGATGAAATTGTCCAAAATTGCCAATTTCTGACCCACAATATGGGTAGTCCAAATTGGTAAATGGGCGGTTTCACTTGTACTCAGCTAGATAGACAAAAAGGGGTTCAAGAGAAATAGCTATGAGTTTGGTCAACTGAAAATAAACTGAATTGACTGACAATAGGGCTCTAAAGTTCGGCGAAATCGCCGCATACTCATATATTGCTGAGAACAGCTAACTTTGGCAGAGCGTAATACCATGAGTTTTCGACCAAATTCGACTTTGGGTCATTAACCCATCGGGGAAAAAGATTCTCTATCATTTCATAAGATTTTTTTTTTTTTTTTTTTTTTTTTTTTTTTTTTTTTTTTCTAAATAATTTAGCGACATTAGAATGACAGTTTCGAAAGGGTAAGTGTAAAGGGAAGGCAAGTGATCCCTCATCAAATGTCAACCTTCTCCATTAGTGGAGAGAGAAGACGTATGATGGCACTCTCTACACCATGGCTTACGCAACTATGTTAATTATTGTTATATTTGTGTATCCTTAAGTATTTACACTATGTATAATTGTATTTTATGTGTACCTGTGAGGACAGATAGAGACAGAGAGCCAACCAGTCAGGGCCCGAACTGCTGGCCACCAGCCATGTTGTTTACACAAACCCACACTCCCTTCCCAACAAAAACATTGCTTGGGGACCTATAAATACTATGTATAATAATTCTTGGCAATAATAATGTGTACCATACAACGAGTGTAATATACAGTAGGGGCCGCGCACTTATGCGGCAGGTTAGAATTCCAGGCTATGCCGTAAAGCGATAAATCGCCCATAAAGTGGAACACCTCTTTTTTTTCACTTATAATCATACAAATACTAGATAACAAGTTTACATTAATCATATATTAAGTTAGTAATTTAATCATATACAGTGGACCCCCGGTTAAAACGATTTTAATTCTCGTGCAGAGGGTAATTGTTATGCGAAATAATCGTTATGTGAATGAATTTTCCCCATAAGAAAATATGGCAATAAAATTAATATTCAGTGCAAGACAAAACCCAAAATTATTAAAATAAACTAGATTTTACCACATGAAATATACTTTTCCCACACACAAAGAGAAGAACATGCACAATAGTAGAGTAGAGTTACATGCACAGTATAATTCTTGTGCATGTACTAGTCTGCTAAATGAAGAATAAATGACACTTTACCTTTATTGAAGATGCAGCAATGACTGATGAGACACTGTGTTCCCCTGGGAGTGCCTTTATCCTCCTCGAGGACTGTAGGAGTCGCCTGTTTGGCATTTTTCTTCCCAGAACAGGCCTTATCACACTGTGTATGCCACTAACGATTCTTAAATCTCTCCAACCAACCTTTGCTGGCTTTAAATTCACCGAATTATGAGCACTATTCCAGCATTTGTCCCTGTTCACCTGGGTGTAGTCGACTATGTGTCGGGTTGCATCCTGTGAGAAAGATTATGGACCCCAGTGGAAAACTAAGTTAGACAGCTTCGATGACAGCTGACTTTTTTTTGTTAACCTGGGTGGCAAATCCTCTGGGTTTAATTGTTTCTTGGTAATCTCAATAAGCCACACCAACAGAACGGTGCTACAGCAGTAAGAAAGCAGACAGCAGATGACCAGTGGCAGCACAGCAGCAGCAGCTGTTACCACCAATATAACGATGGTTGATTGGGGTTATTAATACATACCTGGCCAGCTCGGAGACATGCCACTCACTTTTCATACTTAGCAATGATCTTTTTCTTCACTCTATTTAGTAATTCGTCACCCTTATTGCTGTAAGGGATGGCACTAGAAGCTTTCTTGTGCCATGGTCACTTATTTTCCAGAAAAACACCGAAAACAACTGAATAATACGAACATATTCCGATTGTATGCTTGGATGTTACAGCGGAGGACTGGCTGGTAAAACAATGCCACCGGCGAACAAAGTAGCGTAGGCTCAGGCCGCGTCTCGGAACGAAAATCGGTAAGGCGGGTTTTTTAGCGGTATTTGAAAGGGCAACAAATTTTTTGTCGATTAAAGTAAGTGCGGTATGCGAAATAAATCGCTATGTTATGCCATCGTTACGCGGGGGGTCCACTGTATACACAAATGCAAGTTAACCAGTTATCATACATAGCAGCATATGAGTAAAGTACCTAAGGATACCCAAAAAAAGTCAGACAGTGTAACTATTTCCATTGGTGTTAGCAAGTAGAACTAGCATTAAAAAACAATAAAAAATTAAACATCATAGAGTACACTCATTACTTACCTTAAAATATATGTATATCCTTAATCTAGGGTGAAGACAAATAGTATTTATTGTAAGAAATACAGGTGTGGTAATGTATGGTCTAGCCACCCGTCGCTACCATAACCGGCCACCCCATCCACACATAATATTCTATACATTTAAGCATCCCAGAGCGTTAAAATGCACAATACATTTCACTCATTACTTACCTTAAAATATTTGTAGTCTTAATAGGGTCAGAGGTGAGTAAACGAGATAAAACAAATCAATAAGAGAGAGAAAGAGAGAGAATGAGAGAGAGAGAGAAGAATGAGAGAGAGAGAGAGAATGAGAGAGATAGGAGAAAGAAGAGAGGAAGAGAATGAGAGGAATAGAATATGGGAGAGGACACTCATGAATTATGTAAACAAAACAGAGGTGGAACGTGATTATGAACAAAGTTGTACAGTCTGGTTTGTGAAAGCAAGCTAAATGTGTACAAGGTTGTCTCTACATTGATGCGGTAGAATAAATAAAGAGGAACACTCCCATTCACTCATCTAACACCGATTTTTAGAAGAATATACACTCTGACAAAGGCATACAAAAGGAATAATTTTCTGCAGTTACCCCTCAATAACAGTTTTCTCCTCTTATGCTGGACTAGAAAATGTTTCTTCTTGCCGTCACTCAATAATACGTGTCTGGCTCCCACATCTCGTATTTATGTTTATTCATTCTATTGTGGAGTGTATTTATCATCTTTATATTATGTATCATGTTTATTTCTTATAATTTTGAAAAAATATCATACATAGTTTAAAATGAAAATGTGTATATTAACATAAATATAATCACATTTTAATGAGACTCATTGAATTCTTTTCTTTCTTTCTTTCGAACACACTGGCCGTATCCGTCCAAGGCAGGGTGGCCCAAACAGAAAAAAACGAATGTTTCTCTTTTAAATTTAGTATTTATACGGGAGAAGGGGTACTAGCCCCTTGCTC